AAGCTCTAGAGCTGTGCCACTTAGAGGATCCCAAATGACCTTATTTTGAAACTGTTGTGTTACCTCTCTTCATCACAGAGGGAAAATACATGTTTAATACATATTTTTTTTGTCCACAATATACTTATACTGTGGCCAGGCCTTAATAATCTGAGTAAAGTAGAGGGTGGAAGGCATTAGCTGGAATTTGTTAGCATAGATTCAGACATTAAGGTCAAATACTTAGGATTCAAATCTATTGGAACTACACAATTTCCCAGGCTAAGCAGATTTTCAGTGGATGTCAGGTGCATCTTCACAATGTGGCCCTTCTTATCTTCTCATTCTTCTTACATGTTATTCCTCTGTATCTTCTGCTTCCAGGCATCCAGGACTACTTGCTATTCCTCATGTATCTCAGGGCTCATTGACTTTACATTAGCTATTCTCCATACCTAGAGTGTTTCCCTCTTCACCTTCAACATGTGGAACCCTGGGTTTCCTTCAAAACTCAGCTCATGTCACCTTCCACATTAAGTCTTTTCTGATATTCCCTAGGTGCTAGTGCCTTCCTTCCCCAAACTGCTTCGCATTCATTTTGTATGTATTCTCATATATTTTTGTATGTTTATGCTGTCTTTCCCTCTATAATGTGTCAGGTACTGCAGAACCCTTCTGTCTTTTCTTGGGGTATCTTCACTGCTCCCCCAGGGCAAATTATCTGCTGGACAAGTCTCTTAGCTCATCTCCCTGGGCCTACTCTTCTCCTGAAGCTCAACTTGACTCCCTCGACTCTCTGGGCCTGTTGGTTGCTGTATGCCTTCTACTGGGCAAATTGCTCTGCTGAAAAAAAGCCTATGATTATAGCATAGATGGGAGAGAAATTCTGTCCCCTCCCCCCAAACACCCATTCCCCTGTACTTTGGCACAGGGAAAAGGCAAAGAATGACAAAATGATTCCCTTCAAAGAACTGGCTATTTCTTCCATAGCTGGCTGTCAACTGCCAAGGATGACTCCCTTCTCAGAGTTTGTTTTGTTCTGTTTAAGGACATTGAGTGTGAGGTGGAAAGGCTAAAACTTCATGCTTTCTAAAGAAATAAAGCATTAACTTCCTTTACAAGACTTATTTAAATCTGAAACAGCTAAACCATTTACAAAATGTGAATGGACAATTTCTAGTTTCAATCAGGGCAGCTAGGTGGCAAAGTAGATAGAGGGCCTGTCCTGGAGTCAAAAAGAGCTGAGTTCTACATCTGTACTGAGATACCTACTAGCTGTGTCATTTGATTCTGTTTGCATCACTTTCTTCATCTGTAAAACGAGCTAGAGAAGGAAATGACAAGCTACTCCAGCATCTTTGCCAAGAAAATCCCAGACGGGTCACAAAGAATCAGACACAACTGAGCAACAACAAAAAAAAGCTTTACATCATTTGTAATCTGCAATTGGTCGGTCAGAGTGTGAGCAATTCAAGATTTCACCCCTTTATAATTTCTGAATGTAATTATTCAAAGTCTATATCTCATTGTTTTTGTTGCCCGCCCTTTTCACCATATAATTTCATGAAGGGATTTGGGAAGACTCAGTTGATAAGCAGATCTTAGATCAACTCAGTTATTTTCAAGGTGCAAAGGTTCCCAACCTTATAATATAGAAATATTAGTTGTTATTGGTCATGGAACACTAAATGGAATTTGAAAGGTATATTATATGTTTATACTTTTAATACTTTTCCACAATGTTGGTCATGGGACAATTTTATTATCTGTTGTGTAAAGTAGAACTTACTTTTAATTGTACTAAATTTACCTCTCAAATTCCAATGGATGCCCACTGATTTTAGAATTCTTAAGTTTGAGAAATAAGCCCAGTTCACCCCATTTAAATAAAATGGACTTATAAGTATTTATTGTTCATACCACTCATGAATTATAAACATCAATCACATTCCTTAATAGTTTTTGTCTTTTCTTATTAAAGAATCTTAATATCTTCAGATGGAAATCCCCTTCCCTCTAATCCCCTTGATGAATGTAGTTATATCACAGTGCCTTCCCCAGTTCCATTATTTCTTTCTTATAGCCTTGTCAACCACATTTATCAAAGCATGTTTTTCATGTCCTTAAATTCTCTAATGCACATTTTCCAGGTAAATATATATGCTATGTTTTCCAGTATGACCAATGCCACCTAATATTTCTATATTACAGGGTTAGAAACCTTCAACTTGAAAATAGCTTGATAAGAATTTTCTTTCTCCAACAATGGAATGGGCTGTCTTGAGAAGGAGTTAGTTACCTGCCATTGGAAGTATGTAAGGGCAAAAACCGGGTAACCATCTCTCAATGATGTTGTAGTGGGGATTTTTGCATTTGGTTGGGGGTCAAAGTAGATGCCACCTTAAAGGTCCCCCAAAATGCTAAAAAAAAAAAGGGGAGTTAAGTTAGATTGGCTATCTGTGAGTTGGCAAATTCCTATCCTGCCATCTCTTTAGTATCTCTTCTGCTATCAATATGTAAAGATAATAGAGGCACGAGGAGATGCTAGGAATGGAACATTTTAGCCCAAAGACTTTTAACCAGTCTTTACTTTGTACTGTCTCAGGCTGAGAGCGATTTCTGCATTCTTTCTATAATAATTAATGTGTGATATATACATATTTCCTGTATGCCCATAAGGACACTGGCCAATACCTCCCCTATCCCCAATTATTAAAATGCACATGGCATTTTGGAGATTCTTTCAATTAAAATATTTTTTATTATGAACTTAATAAACATCAAGGAGCACAACTTTTCCACATATAAAGAACAAAGAAGAGGATTATACACCAAGCACTACACTGTTAAGTGTTATGTGTTTTTAAGTATGTTAAACATAATTAAAACAAAGTTGTCTTGCCTTTATTCCTTTCCAATTTTTTTTTGTTTTCTTCTGTGTATTTCTCATGTTTTAGTGAAATTCTTTTGTTTCTCTTTTTAAAAATCTAGATTGTTACCCACTGACTTCTCCTCCAGACCTTCCTTATAACCTATTAACACAACATAGGTTTGCTATATTGATCAAATCAAGCTATCACCTTGGAAATCAGAGAGTAAAGACATATATCATTGGAATATAGAATAAAAAAGCTTTTTGAGGCAGGAAATGGAATTAGGAAAGGGTCCAGAGCACACAGATCATTGGCCTAGGTAGAGTATTACAGGAAGCACTCCGCCAACACAGAAGGGGTAGGGAATCCACAAAAGAGGGTAGGAGGCAGCTACCAAAGACAAAATTTACCTTGCATGTGATAATGGGTGTAGGTATCACCCACTGTAAGAAACTACAGTATAATAATTTTAATTATAAAACACAAATGAGAAGATAACCTTAACACAAAAACATACATCACAAGGTTCCTTTAAATATTGAGAATGTCCAAAATGTCCAAAATTTTGTAATATTATTAAAATGGAAAATGGACAAAAGGGTAGACCTGACCACAAATGATCATTTCTTAAGGAAGTTTAACTTATGTAAATCAGTTATCACAAAAAAAAAGAGACCAAAAGAGCCTAGAAACTCTTAGTCAACAAACACAACAATTTCTAATGTAAACTTGTTTATAAGATCCTGAGGAGGATGCTGGGAGGCTATGAACAGTATCATTTCATACGACAGTGAGAAGCAGTAGAGGTAAAACAAATTTATAGAAAACATGGTAAAAGACCCAACTAAGCCAAATCATGGGAAGAATAATTAAAGCTGAAACTGAATGAAGATATCAAACAAATGAAAGGTAGTACATACTACAAATGGTTAAGATTAATAATAGTAAACTATTCTTTTTTTTTTTTTTTTGGTGAGGCAATGGGGTTAAGTCACTTGCCCAGGGTCACACAGCTAGTGAGTGTTATGTGCCTGAGGCCGGATTTGAATTCAGATCCTCCTGACTCCAGGGCCGGTGCTCTATCCACTAAACTATTCTTCATCAAAGACAGAGTGACCATACTTGGACTCTAATTTCATAGTCCCTAACGTGTTCCGTGAAGCAGTAGAAATGTACCTGAAGAAAATAAAGACAAGAAGAGCACTTGGACCAGGCTTAGTATAACAGAGGAGAGCTATGCTGGAGATGACACAACATTAAGGTCACTGACTGATGAATTTGTAAGATAACAGAAAGAAGATACCAAGAACTTAGAAAAATTCATGGATATTATTACTATTTTTAAATTGATTGAGAAAACATCAAGAGCTCCCTATGTGCCTACTTTCCCATAGATGGGTTTACACAAACCTATTAAAAGAAAGCCTACATCAGCCTATTAAAAGAAAATTTATTTTTATTCAGACCTGTGATTCACTTATATAACTGCAGATCTGCATTTCTATTAATGCAGATCTGCAGTTATTATGAAATTTGGTGTTTTAGAGAGTTGCTTGGGGTATTAAGAAGTTATTTGCCTTGCCCAGGGTTAAACAGCCAGTATATACCAAGTCAGTCAATCAATAAGCAGTTATAAGGCACCTATCAAGTGTCAGGCACTGTGCTAAGCTTTGCAGATACAAGAAACATAAAAGACAGTCTCTGCCCTTAAGGGGCTTATAATCTATTGGGAGAGGAACATACAAACAAATATGTACAATTAAGCAACATACAGGATAAATAAGAAATAATCAACTGAGGGAAAGCACTAGAATTAAGAGGGATTGGGAACCCAAGTCTCGTTGACTCAAAGTCTATTCAGTACACCCCACTGTCTCACTGCAATTACATAATTGACTGAAGAGTAGAGAGAATACAAGATCCCACTGTGCTTATTTGTTGACTATATTTAAAAATAAAAATACACACATTTGATTCAACAAAGTAAATGGCTCCTTAGAGGCTCTCCTCACAGCAAGTCTTTTTGCATACATATGTCAGGATCATTAAAAATTCCTTGAAGGAAGCCCAACAGAAATGTAGTTTTATTCAGTGACACTCTAATTACTATTATCAAGGGAGGCATGAAAGTGGGACACGTGTACTTACCAAAGGTATTTGATGCTGTCATAAAAGATGACCAATGTAAAGTTCAAATGATATGTTGAGTTTTTCCATATGCTCCTGCTTGTGACTGACACTGTGCTGACTGCATTAAGCCCCCAAAGTGCAATGCTTCCTAAATGAGATACATATTCAAGAAAACTTGGCTTATCTCTCCACACAGCAAAAAACAAATGGATGAAAAATGTTTATTGTCCAGAATAGTGCAAAGTGGCAGTCTGTCTTTGACTAATTGATTTCTGCATCCTACCCTCTATTTGTTACAAAAAACCCAAAAGGTCTGGTAACAGAAGTAAAGAAGCATTAATATGCTAATTAATATGCTAAACTGTAAAAAAATGTCCTTTGGTCGTTTTAGTAGTGTCCAACGCTTTGTGACTCAATTTGGAGTTTTCTTGGCAAAGATGCTGGAGTGGCTTGCTTTTTTCTTCTCCAACTCATTTTACAGATGTGGAAACTGAGGCAAACAGGGTTAAGTGACTTGCCCAGGGCTGCTCAAACTGTAAAAAATATGATCCCTTTATGAAGTACAAAACAAGTAATGATTGAAATGGAACTTAGAATTGGCTCTCTGAAAATTAGTCATGTCCCTGGAGGCCTTTAAATCGCCAAGGCTGCCATCCCTGGGGTCAATCCATTCATCCTGAGAGTTTGGTTCAATCCTGGCCAGGAGAAACTTTTATAATCTCCAAATCTATACCAAAGGGTAGCAGGGGAAGGGATTTTCTCTATTCTCCCCATCGGTCTTGGAATCTTGTGACAGAACTAAATTTGTCCAGGATGGAATACCTCATCTAGCAGCTTCATAGTAAATATATCTGAGAGAGTTACAAGCACAGTTGAAGGAGTGGAGGCACATAATCTCTGATCAGATGTGGACAGAGTGAAGTAGTAAATTGAAGAAAGAAGCAGTTTTTAGGAATGTGATCCCTGGAAGAAGAGAAAAGAGCCAGTATTCAAAGGACAATTATTCCTGGCAGGTGGGGGGGGGGGCTGGGGAAGTGCCTCCGAGGAGGGAACCTGAGGGTTCTACCCCTCATGACTTCACCTTTTTATGCATAAATGCATTGCTGCTTGCTCACAAGGCTGATGAGAAAGTGGAGGTCCCTAGGCTTGTGTTAGCTTTGGTTGAAGGTTTTTTGGGCTTCTAAACTCTGTGGTACTTGGAACAAAGCCCCAGTTAGCCCACCCTAGTTATTTCTCTGCTTGGGGATCATCTCCTAGTTCAACCCCCTTATTTTGTGTATGAGAACACCAAGGGCATAAAATTTAATTTATGGTCACACAGGTAATTCATAATATCATACAATTAGAGCTGAAAGGGACCTCAGAGGCCTTTGAATACAATCCCCTCACTTTATAGATGAGGACAAAGGCCTAGAGAAGTTGACATATTCTTCCCTCCGCCCCATTTCTGTAGCCACTTCTCACACACATAGGAGTTAGACTACATGGGCAAATACCTGCACATATCTGGACTAAGCTACCTTTCTTGCAAAGTACAGAGAAAAAAAGGTAATTGATTCAGAACTAATTAAAGCAAGTTTTTAAAACGCAAAAAAACCCAAACCAACAAACCTTTCCGCATTCAAATAAAAACAATAACTTTGGAAATGTCTATTTAAATATATATCTTTTTTTTTTTGCTTCCCTAGGAAATAATGAAATTAATAAAAATTACCCATTGCTTTGAAAAGACACTTCAATAAAAAAGCAACAATAAACTGACTTTTGAGTTAAGGAAGGACTTTTTTGGTCTTATTAGGAGAGGGTTTTTTTGTTTGTTTGTTTGTTTGTTTTCTTCCTGAAAAGATAATTCAGGCCAACATTTATTAAGGGCTTCCTACGTGAAAGGCACTCTTCTAGGTGTCAGTAATGTGATTCAATCAATCAGCAATTAGTGCCTATTCTGAGTAAAATGAGGGGGTTGTATTACATCAATTCTAAGTTCCCATTCTACTAGGTGGCAGGCACTGTGCTAGGTTTTGGGGAATGAAAAGAAAAAAAAATGAAGCCAGTCTTTGTATTCAAATTAAAAACTAGACAGTTCTAGTCCTTCAGGAGCTTACATTTTATGATTCTGGTGCAACACTTAACAGAGAAATACAAGGTAATTTGAGGAAGGAGAAAGTGGGAAGAACTGATGAGTGTGGAGGTGAGATCTGGGGATGCTTGGGATGCAGGGGAAGGAGATGACAACTAATCTGAACTTTTAAGAAACACTTAAGATGGAGAGTTAAATTAGATAAACTTTTAAGGACTACTCCAGAATGAGGAAAGTTTAAATGAGATATTGATTTTGGTGGAAACTTCTCATTTTAGAGATGAGGAAGTAGCTCAAAGAAACAATCATATTTTAATATAGGGGTAACACTCACATCCATTTCATTGTGCAGGAATTTTGCACTATTGGATCGGGCATAATTTAAATGAGTTAGGGGGTGGAGTTTGCGAAGCCTTGACATATATTATTTCTTTTGTGCACCATAACAACCCTGTGAGTTAGGAACTATAACATCATCATCCATATTTTACAGATGCCTCAGAGACCATTGGCAAAAAAGAGTTAGTTTGGGTAGCTCTGTATGGATGGAAGGTGTACCCCTAACGATGGCCTCACAACTCTATTCAAGTATTAAAGGAATGATTTCCAGTTGGGATTTTGTCCTGAAAAGCCCCAGGAAAACTAGTCGGGGTTTTTTTGTTTGTTTGTTTTCTGTTTTTATTTTTAGCCAGTAAGACCACCTCCTCATATCCATGCACCTCGAAACAATAGGAGTGTGGTGTTCATTTTGGAGAGCTAAATGGCTATCCCTTCTCTCAATCAATTGACAAGCATTATTATTATTTTTTTGGTGAGGCAATTGGGGTTAAGTGACTTGCCCAGGGTCACACAGCTAGTAAATGTCAAGTGCCTGAGGGCAGATTTGAACTCAGGTCCTTCTGACTCCAGGGCCAGTGCTCTAGCCACTGTGCCACCTAGCTTCCCCAAATGACAAGTATTATTAAGTTCGCAGTGTGTCAGTTCTTAGGGATGCAAAGAGAGAAATGACACAATCCCTTTTGTCAAGGAGATTACATTCTGACAGAAGGAAACTACATGTATATGTATAAGCATATACAAAATATATAATTAGGGGAGAGGAGGTATTAGCAACTATATTGGGAAGGGCCTCATTTAAGACATGGTGCTGCAGCTGAGCTTTGAAGGAACCAGGGATTTTAAGAAGTAGAGGTGAGCACAGAATGAATTCCAGGTATGGGGTGCAGCTTACGCAATGACATGGAGAGATCGAGGAATAGCAAAAAAGTCAGTTAGACTGGACCAAGAGTGAGTGGAAGGAGGTATACAGCGCAATAGGCGGAGGTTGCTGCCAGGCTGTGAAGACCCTCAATGTCCAACAAAGAAGTTTGGATTTAATCCTAGGGACATGGAAGTTTACTAAGCAGGAGAGGGACACCCTCAGACCTCAGGTTTAGGAATATACTCTTGTCAGCTATGGAGGGATGAATTGAGTAAGGAGCTCAACAAATGTTACTGTCGATACTGTTATTGACTCCTAACTTCTCCTGGATACTCTCTTCTTTGTCTCTATCACCCCTTCTGTGTCAGCCTCCTTCTTCCTTACTGTCTCTCCGTGTCTGTGTAACTGTGTGCCTCTCTCTATAGCTGAAGAGATATTTTTCTCTTTAATTCAAAAAAAAAATCTTTTTAGGAGCAAATATTCTATTTCTATCTCTGTGTAACCTCTCTGTGCTAAGTGCTGGGGGTTCAAAAAAAAAAAGGCAAAAGACAGTCCCTGCTCTCAGAGAGCTCACAGTTTAAAGGTGCTTAAAGATGTATAAAGAACTTCCTATATGCCGAGGAGAGGTCATTAGGAGAGGTCATTCTGGCTGGTGACCTTAGGGTTGAAGGGCTGCGGGGCTGGGGCTGTCGGTAACTTTTCTTTTTAAGAGGCAACCAACTGGAAAATGAATGAAAAGCCAGGGTAGCAAGGAAGAAACTAAAGAGGAAGAATGGATGGGCGGGTAGACTGACTACTGCAGGCTGAAAGAAAGGAGGCTAGGGAAGAGAAGGGAAGGGAGGGAACAGGGAGGGAGTGGATTGGGGAAGGGGGCGTGGTGATGAGGGGACGGGGCGGGACTCTAACGGAATGTGGGCGGGGAGACGAGTGAAAGGGCGGAGAGGTAAATGCTGGGAGGACCTAAGGAGGGAGGCGGGGATTGGGAGCAATCAGAATTAGGGGAGGAGGAGTGGTGAGGAGGATGGGGCGGGGCTGTGGTGGAACGGGAGCGGGGCGAAGAGAGTAAGGCGAGTGAGGGGCGGTGCTAGACAAAGAAGGGAGGCGGGTACTATCAATTGAGGCCTTGGGGAAGGGGGCGGGGCGAGGTCTGGGGAGGAGTAGGAGGAAAAGGAAGGAAAAGGGCGGGCCCCGGGGAGCGGGGGCGGGGGCTTTGTTCGCGCTGGCGCTGCGTCTCGCCCAGAAAATGGCGGCCTCCAGGTGGCTGCTGCTGGCGCTGGCCTTTCTCTGCGCCTCCTACCTGCTGCCGTGCCTGGTCGAAGCGGGCGAGGACACGAAGGCCACAGCCAAGCCGCCTCCCCCTCGGAAGAAGAAGGACATTCGCGATTACAACGATGCGGACATGGCGCGGCTGTTGGAGCAGTGGGAGGTCCGTGCTGCCTCGGCCCGTACTTCCCGCGAGACCCCCCTCCCCTCCGTCTATAGCCTTCTCTATCTTCCTAGCCCCCCCCTTCCTTTGTGTCCTTCTCCGTCCGTCCTCCCCCGCCCTCCAGTGTTTTCAGATTGCTTCCTGCCTGAAGGGGGAGGAAGTGGAAATTGTTTTTATTTCTATTTTTTTCTCCCAATCTCTAGAAATGTGTTTAAAAGTTTTCACTTCCTTTCTTTTTTCTTTCAACTTCGACACAGGCCGTGTTTTACCAGCAGCAGGTCATCTGCATACTAAGAAAGAGCCGTGCGAAAAAGGAGAAGTTGTTGCTACACTATTACTCTGCAGGAGTGCTTGAGAATGAATCAAAGATCATTCCAGAAATAAGCATAATTTACCATTCGTTTGTTTCCCCTAATAGGTTTGGATCCTTCTCGCTCCCTCTCCTTCCCTCTTATTTTCTAGTCCCTACAAATGAAAGATACTAACACCGGGCAAGTTATTTCACTTTTCTGCACTTAATTTCCTCATCTGTGAAATGAAGGGGTCAGGCTAAGGCTGTAAGGCCCCTTCCAATCATAGCATGCTTTGACTCTTTGTTGAAATGTGCCATGACTTGATTTTATGAGGGTAAGTGTACTTGCCTTTTTGACTCGTGTGATTTGCTGGTTAAATGTTTTAGCATGCTCTGGGATGGTGGCGCTTTGAAGCATAAGGTTCGCGGACTTCACTGAAGCTACTTGTATTGTAATTCATTTTATAGGA